CATGTGTGAGGATTTCTGCAGAGTGCATTCTATGAAATGCAAGGAGATGAGTCTTAACTGGTAATAGAATACTTGCAGCCTGCTATGCGTTTGACACTATGCCTGTTGCTCTTCTCAGTTGTTATACGTTATACATAGTTTTAATGACATTAATTAAATCGTTCTGTAATTAACTTGCTTCCTTTTCGTATTGTGGGTATTAAGGATTAATCAATTTGACTGTGGTGACTTGTAAAGATTCCAGTATCATGTTTATTATATAAATATAATAATACAATATAATGCAAGACCAAATCTAGCTTGTATTTTGTTCTAGATCTAGATCTAGTCTATTGCAATTTATTTTCATAATGATTGTACTGTAATAAGTTAGAGATAACTAGGGTATTGGATAATTTTACCAAGCATTTATAAAGATTATTAAACAAATGTACGTAGCTGGTGAAACAAATGAAAACTGTGGTTAATTTCAACCAGTATTTGGATGGAAGAAATAACAAATTATAAAGTTAGGAAAAAATAAATAAATATTTGGATAGAGGCAATAACAAATGTGTTTTGTTGAATTTTTCCATTTTTGGGGTTAATTCAACCCATAATTTGGATAGAACATTACAACCTTTGTTGGGTTATATGGGACCACCCCATCTTGTTGGGTCAAGTCGACTACTGCTGGGCTGGTGTTATAATAACCCAGCAGCTGGGCTGGAAATAACCCAACACCTACTTGTTTTTAGCGTGTAAGAAAAACTTCTAGGCGAACATCTCATTCAGCTCTGCTAAATTAGGAATAAGTCAAAGAAGGCAAAAATCGACTGGGGAATTGGTAGCAGCCTTAGCGGTGCAGATAGAAAGATCAGCATATGTTGGTCCTTCTGTTTTTGATAGACACGTTCTGCATCTTCCTGCACCTGTTGCAAAAGTTAGTCTCTACAAAACAAGAGGCAGTTTATTAAGTCTATTAAGGCTCAAATCTGCAAGAGGCTCGAAAAGATGAAATTTGGGCGAAGGTTCACCCTCTACCAGCCATTTTTAACTTAAAATCTGCATTCATATTCTCATTATAGGAAGAATATGTGTTAATTGTACATATGCTTTTACATACAGTATACTTCTAAATTTAGAAATGTTTATTGAAAATAGGTAGTTGAAAAAAACTCACATTAGTGTTACTCTAAACACTGGTTTGGCTTTTTATTAAACACATTTATCAAGCTGGGGCACTAAAATAACTAATAAATAACTACCATTCAGGGAGCTACTTACAAACCCCTTATATTGGAATTTTTTAGGGTTTGAGTAACCAACAGTTTGGTTTTATTATGTTTCACACGTGCTTTAGGTGTGCAAGGGCATAAATGACAGAAATACCTTTCCACCTGCCTGCTGCCTCTCTGACCAAAGCTGTTTCCTGTAAGCTCTAAGAAACATTTACTGCTCCCCAATTAACATCATTACTTTCAGCTTGTTGTGAAGCTAATGGGAATCAGCATGTCGGAGGGAAAGGGGCAACAGGAAACTTTTTAAAAGAAAAGTTTGTAGCATTATGTGTTTGTACAGAAATATTTGGGGTAATGAAACTTGATTAGATAAAAGAAAAAAATCCTCCCTTAACTATCCCAAAAACATTGAGATGAGTGACTTCAGCCGGGACTTTCATCTACTGTTAGCTCCTACTCTTTAAATCAATGTTTATCAGTGTTGGAGTCTGTTTTCACAGCACTTGTGCTTACCACACCCGTGCGTCTGGCTGTCTCAGTGCTTCGCCTCTCTCCACCCAGTGATGTGAAACATGTGTTGGGCAGGATAGTTGGACGGACCGGGTCAAACAATGTACACTTGCATACAGATGAGTGCACACACGGATACTAATAAAGAACATACCGCAGAAGGCCTTTCAATGAGAACCAACCTTCTAGAGATTGCGAAACAATGTGGGAGTAGCGGGCCGGAGGGTCCTGTCAAAACACTGCACTTTGACTCAGTGTATTTCAGCTCATGAGCAAATATAATCCTGTTTTCTTTTAAGCTAAATCATCTCTCAGCCTGTTTTCATCAACAACAGTGTGTATAAACAGCCTCAAAAAGCTGAACTCCCTCTGTAAAGTATGCAAAACCTACTCAACCTGAATATAAATAACAGTTACAGTAACTAAAATAGAATAAAATAAGCATGTATAAAAGATGATGGTGAACTCGTCACATCAGACCCTTCTCTGGCCATGAGTTTTGACAACCTGAGGTTTTTAATCCATGTGCTTCAGCTTTTCCACAACCAGCTCAGGATCCATAGGGAATTCTCAACATGCATCTCACTGGCAGAATCCTCAATAATGGTCAGGATGGGACGCGTGATTCCAGGATTTTTCTCTGAATAGGTTACGTCCAACATTACCAGATGATTTTTTTACATAGAAAACTGGTATTTCTGCAGGTTCTACCATTTCTTTTCTTGCATCCATCCATCCATAAATCCATCCATTGAATTTGACTCATTAATTAAAAAAAAAAAGAAAACAGACAAAAATTAAAAAAATTAAAACTTAGTCCTTAGAGGTAAAACCATCCATCCATGTCAGGGTCGCGGGGGTTGCTGGTGCCCATCTCTGGCAGTCTAAGGGTGAGAGGCGGGGTACACCCTGGACAGTTTGTCTGTCGCCGCGCAAAACAGAGCCACACAAAGACACACAACCATTCACGCACACACTCACACCTAAGGACAATTTAGAGAACCCAGTCAACCTAATAATCATGTTTTTGGGCTGTGAGAGGAAGCAGGAGTACCCGGAAAAACCCATGCATGCACCGGGAGAGCATGCAAACTCCATGCAGAAAGACCCCGAGCTGGGAATCAAACCTAGAACCTTTTTGCTGCAAGGCAAAGGTGCTACCCACTGTTCCACTATGCAGCCCCCCGTCAAAGGTAAATAGAAATATAAATCAATAATTTAACCCATTACCTACCTGGAAGTCATCCGTAGGGAACTGTAACATGTCCCGGAGAACATCACTCATGATCTGGGTCTTCCTCTGAAGAATCACATTCTCATAGTCCAGAGGCTCTATGATCTTTGGTTTTACCTGCAAGGACAAAAAAAAAACATCAAGCCAAGCTTCTATGCTTTAGTTTAAATCATCATAAAGGAAGTGAGCCTGTTCAACAACGGGGCCCTTTTAATACATTCTGGGCTCGCTCACAATGGCAAATGTGTCGTATTCACAGCGAGGGGACAGCAAGTCGCTATTGTCCTTTTCCTGAAAGCTCCAGACGCAGGAACTGGCACAGAGATGGCGTTGAATATGGGCTACCAGAGGAGGAGATGCGGGATGACGGAAGGGATAGGGGAGCAAGTGAGAGACTGTGTGAATATTTGTACCAGTCACAGTGTCACAAGCTCACGTTCAGTGCCTGAGCGACATAAGTAGCCTCTGCGGCTATGGCACCATTTTTATACCAGTATGCACCACAGACACAGTTACATTAACCAGCTGTGTTACTGGTTACACCTTGTTAGCACCCTATGAGGGCCCCTTTATCGATGCTTAAATCAAACCATCAGAAACATTCCTCTGAGATTTTGGTCCGTATTAAAAATCAAAGCATCAGGTGTGCAGAATTTGTACTCATAGAACAACTTCAAGGGCATGTTTAAGATTATTTAAGGATTAATAAACTTCTAAAAGAAAATGTG